AAAAAAAAAAAAAAAAAAAAGTGGTTTTTCTTGCATTGTTTTTGTCGATAATGTAATTTCATTATCTTAAATGCAGTTCGGAGGGTGTCGATAAGTTAGAGAAGGATTTAGCAGTTAAGGCTGCAGCTGCTTCGATATATTCGACTTGCAACTTCTTGTTGGGAATGGAAAAATGCTGATTATCCGAAAAATTGTTCTGTTAACTGGATTTGAGGCTCGACACAAGTTTCTTGTAGCATTAGCAATATATACTAATCTGTTTTCTCTTAAAATTATCACTTGTGATTTTGGCTATAGCTGCACTTGAGGTTGTTTTTTTTTTTGTTTTTTTTTTTTCCCTACCATTTGACATTTTCTTGTCAGCTTTGAAAGATGAAAATTTGTATCTGAGGGTGAATAACTGATTCATTGTTCAGTCCTTTTTCTGTTGTCTTGTAAGTTACATCATTCTATTTTAATTTTTTTTTTTTCTTTTATGATGGTTTTATAAAAGAAAATTGTTTTGAATTGGAAAGCATATTAAATTTTCAAGTCAAGCCCATTATCCATCAAGCAAAATCCCTTTTCCTGAGACGGCCTATATATATAGCCCAATAATCAAGCCCAAGCTTACTCACCAGCCTATGGGCTGATCCCTCCATATCATGCCCATTATCGGAATTCCTTTTCCTGGGATGGCATACATATAAAGCCCAATACCTGCGTTACTGAGCCTAGTCTCCGGCCCATGGTCTGATCCAACTATATTAAAGAGCTCCCTGTCTGCCAGCTTTAAGTTCTTTTTTGTAGTTCATCCCGTGGCTTCTTGATTTTAGTTTAGTATTTTTCTTTTAATAAATTTTAAAATTGTTCAAAATTGAGGAAGAAACGAGCTGCTCGAAAACAGGAACTTTAATGTAAATTTCCATAGGTTAGTTGATTAAGACTCGAGTTTGGTTTGTTGACTATTGATAAACGAGCAAAGCATGATCTCGTTTGTTGGCTCTTTTAGTTAACGAATTGCGTTCTGAGCTTGGTTCGATGAAGACTCGAGCTTGCTCGGCTCGTTTGCACCTTTATATATATCAAACTATTTCCAAGCAATGTTTCAAACATAAGCTTTTTTACTTTTATCTCATAATAAGATTCTTGAAGTTGATACTACAATTTTCAATCACAAATTTTTGTTGCAATATGGTTATAAGGTTATTAATAGAAGAGTTATTAATTTTCAATTTTCAAAAGGTGTAAAGCTAATTAGGTCATATATAAAAGCGTCATTTATACTACATTAACTACGTGTTAATACTCAATAGATCTTTCATCTTATTAGAAAATTCTAAGGTCCCGTTATGAAAACATTCTATCGGGGTTTGTAACCGTTAGATTAACTATCCTCGATGTTTACATGATGATCTAATAATTACAAATCCCGACGGAATAATTCCACAACGGGAATGTAACATCTCCCCATCTTATTATTATGAGTTGTGTCAGCTGATGTTAAAGTTGTCTTGGCTCCAAGTCCTAACATTACATAATAACTAAGACTAAACTTTTGTATTAGTTCTTTATTACTAGTTGATTTAGGATTAGGGACAGCTCATTATGGCTAACCAGTAACGCTAATCCTAATCTTTTCTCTCCTTTAAAAAATACTATACACAATTATGAGAAACTTTTATTATTACATACATTGTAGAATTCAAAGTTAGAATAGAAAATGTGATTTTAGTATCTTATGTTCCAGTTTTATATTTCATCTTGTGTTTTGTCATGTTTGGATGCATGACATGTGTAGAAATATAATGTTATATAAACATTTGTTATGTTCAACAATAAAATGGAAGAAAATTAGAATAGAAAATGTGGTTAGTGTGGTTTCATACTAATAAATGCAAATTGTCATGCTTATATAATATTAGAGAGTTTGGAATATTTTGTTGTTTAAAGAAGATAAAAGTAGGAATAAAATAGGAAATAATTCAATGTCAAATTTAAGAAGTGATCAGGTAAACAAGTCGAGAAACAACTCGCCGAAGTTAACAATTGATAAATGAGGTCAGTGTTAACGAATCAATGATGTTAAAAGTTAAAAGAAAAATATAAATGCAATCTTAATTTATTTGTATGTTATTGTAATAAAAAAAAAATATATTTTTTTTTGGCTCATAGTATTATTTTATCTTGTGATAAATATATTTTGTCCAAATTTGTTTAAATTTATCTTTGAATAATTTGATAAATTATATAAGTATGCATGATCTTATTTTAATTCATAAACTTGTTAACTTTTTTTTTTTTTTTTTTGGTTTGATCAAATAGGATACATATTGACAATTCTATTTTAAGATAGTATTATTCATATTATTTATATTATTTCATATATGGATACAATAATTACTTGTTGATTTTTAAATAGATGATATTTGAATATAAGAAATATACAAGTTAATTTTTCATATAACTGTTCATTGAAATCACATATAAATTTTCGCAATTTGTGTCTAAATGGTTCATGATCTCATAGTAATTTACAATAAAGTATCTTATTTATTTTTAAATAGAACTCAAGCAAACGAGAAGAAATTCTATCTTTTTTTTTTTAAGACAAAGAATATAACAAATTGAATAAATACATTTATGAGCTTATGTTGAATAAAGAATGTAACAAATTGAGTAAATACATTTATGAGTTTATGTTGAATGAATGAGTGAATCTCTATTAAAATAAGGCCAGGAAGTATTATAATTGATATATTATTTTATAAAAAACAAGCCACATTCTTAATAATTTATTCTCAAACTTTTTACTATGTGATTCATGTAATTTACATTAAATACTTCATAAAAAATAATTTCATGCTCTAGTTTTTTTATACATAGCATTAGTGACATAGTTCGAGCAAAAGTAAGTGGAATACGTTGTGTTCGACCTCGTGTTTAATAAATGAGAATATTTGGCTCTACCCATTTAATAAATTAAACTCGAGTTTAAAGAACCAAAGTGAGTTACTCTCATTAATAGCTCGGTTCGACTAAAAGCTCTACCTAATGTAGCAGCCCAGGGTAATAAAAATTGTTGGCTACGCTCCTGACCTCAAACATGCTCGCACTCAACTCGTTCATCACACGAGTCGAGCTGAATTCATACATTAACGAGCTAAACCAAGTCAAGCTCACAAGCAACCCGTTTTAACATAGAAGGAGACCTAACCTTGCAACTTTCAAGGACGAAGAGGGGTTAGCGCAGTGGCGCGTACCTTCGCTCTGCGTGTATCATGACTCGAGTCACCTGGGGAGGGAATTGGGGAACCAGTATTGATCGAACTTTTGGTCGATATTGGTGACAATATTTACTTATTTAGACATCAAAATAAGATTGGAGATAAAAAAAGACAACACAATTGCATTAATTAATTTAGACAATGAAAGAGTCAAAAGTGCAGAAAGATGTGCATACAAACACAACCAGATGAGTTCCATAGCCAATAAAAGACATCAAGAAGAAGGTGAAAACCATGTGAATTTTTTTTACCTTTAAAGAAGTAAAAAAACTTAGAAAATGGCTACAAAGAAGAATACAAAAGTTTCATAAAAGTAAAATAATGGGCCACCTCACCTCAGTACTTAAAGAGAAAAAGAAAAGAAAAAGCTCAATATTCCCCTGCAAACACTTTTTCCTTTTGATTATTATTTGCTTAGTGATGGCAACTAAACATATGCTTGTTTTTTTTCACTTTTTTATTTTTTATTTTTTATTTTTTGAGTATTTACTATTTACAGCTATGCTATAAAGGTACTCTCATGATTGTTGTGAGAAAAAATAAACATATTTTGAAGATAGCATTTGGTCACCAGTCATAATTTGAAAATCTTGAAATTAAATGTTAAGAATTTCAAGCTAAAATTTGAGCACACAATCATGATTTCTGAGTCTTTTGAATATTAAAGTGTCTTTCAGTTTGAATATTCCAAAAACAAAGTTCAAATCAGCTTTGATCATGTAAGTGACTAGCAGCAGTTAACAGAATGGATTAAGCAAACTCAAATCAGCTGAAAATAAATCACATAAACATAAGTTCAAATCTCAACAAACAAACTACAGAGAACTCAGAGAAACTACTATGGACCACAAATTTTCATACAATAACACAAAAATCAAGAACCTACACTTCCTAACCGAACCTCTCGTCTCACGTCAATGCTCGTCGATCAACCGTCAGAGGAAAACCCGTCTAACTCATCCATTCCCTCACGACGCTTAACAAGCTCCAACATTCTAACCACGTCATCCATACCCGGTCGACTCGAGGGCACTTGAGAAGTGCAAATCAACCCTAATTTCACGACCCGTATAACCTCATCCAATCGAAACTCGCTTCGTAACCGAAAATCAATGCATTCCTCGACTTTCCCTTCGTCCATTGCACCCCTCACCATCTCGCAAAGCACCACCACATCGTCCTCCGTGTACTCCACGGGCCTCCGGCCCGTAACCACTTCAAGAACCAACACACCAAACCCATAAACATCACATTTCTCGGTTAATATAACCGTCTCACAAGAGACCTCGGGCGCCACATACCCGACCGCACTCGACTTCACATTGTAATGATCTCGCATCAATTGGGCTAGCCCAAAGTCCGCAACTTTGGGCTGGCCCGATTCATCAATCAACACATTGCTCGACTTCAGATTATAATGTATCACGTTCATCTCATGCAAATGGGCCAGCCCACGAGCCGTTCCGAGAATAACATCGAACCGCTCGTCCCACGACAAGCATTTCCCGTCTAAACATTCATGCAAGCGCCCATGCAGGTTTCCCCCGTGGGCGAATTCGTAAATTAGGAGCTGCAGAGAAGGGGCCCAATAATACCCGACAAGGCCCACGAGGTTGACGTGGCGGGCCTTTCCGAGCTTCCGTGCCACCCTCTCGAAATCTTCCTGTGGCCCGACGGGTCCCGATAAAACCAGCCTCCGGACAGCAACCAGCTGCCCGTCTCCAAGAGAGGCCCGGTAAACCGGCCCGAACCCGCCTCGTCCTATCTCACAGTCCTTGCCGAGAAGGCTGCGGGCCCCACCGGAAGAAGCAAGGTTTATAAAGTCGTGGTTGGCGCCGGAGAACAAAACGAGCTTACCGGAATCCCGACCGGACGAGCCAAGACTGCCGCCATTGTTGTCCTCACTCGAGGAGGAGGAGAAGGAGACGACAGGTAGGCGAAGAGAGGAGGATTGCACCCTGAGGTTAAGAACTGTCACGAAGATCACGCCCACGAAAATAGCCCCAGCAGCACAGATGGCAATCAGGGCCGAGACGGTTAAGACTTTTTTTCCGTGGGAAAACGAATTTGAACTAATGGGGTTTGGAGTGGAAGATGTAGAGTTCGGGTTGAGCACGATTGGCTTCGGGAGGACTGCCGGACAGGATGAATTGATTGGGCCTGCACAGAGGGACGGGTTACCGGAAATGGAGGATATGGGAATGGCGTTGAAAAAACTGCCGGACGGGAGTTTGCCTTGGAGATTGTTGTGTGAGATGTTAAACGAGCGAAGGTGTATAAGGTTCGACAGCTGGATAGGTAGGCTTCCGGAGAGTTTGTTGAAGGAAAGACCGATTTTTTCGAGGCGAGTGAGGTTCGAGAGGGAGAGAGGGATGGGGCCCGTAATTTGGTTGTGATCGAGATACCTGCAAATAAAATTTTCGGTTTAAAGGTTGAGTCTTGGAAATTTTGCAAAGCATTGAGAAGCAAGTTAATTCATAAGCTGAATCTTACAAACAAACAAACAATGATAATGAAGAATGTTAATGATAGTGACTAATGAACTTACAAGGATTTAAGAGATTCAAGTCGTCCAATCTCTGAAGGAATGCTGCCATTTAACTGATTCTCACTCAAATCTAAAACACTTAAAAGTTTTAGTTCACCAATGCTTACTGGGATGCTGCCAAAGAATTGATTTTGGGACAAATCCAAAATCACAACTTTTTCCCTGGAGTTCTCGGTGGATAGATCGAAAACATTCTCGAGTCTCCCACTGAATCTGTTGTTTGAAAATAGAACCTGCTCCAAACCAAGTCTGAACACCCAAGAAGGAAGATTACCAGATAGCATATTTTGAGACACATTTAGAATCTTCAATGACTGAAGCTTTGCTAAAGAATCAGGAAGTTGGCCGGTAAAGCTATTCTCAGAAAGATCGAGGATTTCGAGGCTTCTCATTTCACCAATCCATTGAGGCACGCTCGATTCAAATCCATTTCCACCTAAAATTAGATTACTGCACGATGAGAGGCTTTGCATTGTGCCCGGAAGTCGACCGGATAGCTTATTCCAGCTCAAATCGATTGTTTCCAGCAAAGGACAGTTCCCAATTCCCAAAGGCAAAGGGCCTGAAAAGTTGTTCTTAGCCAGAGAAATAGATGTTAAGGGCCCACATGGGGTAAAGAAACCACTTGAAACGGACCCGGATAATCGATTTTCACTCAAGTTAAGGACCTTGAGATGGGGCAGCTGAGATAAATCAAAACTTAAGCCTCCGGTGAGATTGTTGTTAGCAAGAGAGAGCTTTCGTAGAGAGCGCAAATTAAGGAGGCCTCTGCCTAGTTTACCCGAAAGGCCAAAGCTGTCGAGAACAAGCTCAGACACTCTATTGGATTTGGGGTTGCATTTTACTCCAGTCCATGTACAACAAGAACTATCATCATCATCATCATCATCATCATTCCAAGAACTCAATTTACCATGAGGATCTTCAAGACCAGCTTTAAACACAAGCAGCCCCACAACATCATCACTCAAAGTAGGCCTCTTTGATTTGATTAGTAACACAGAAGAGCAAATGAAAAGGAAAACAACAAGAAAACTTCGCATTCTTAAGAAACTGGAGAAATTTGGAGCAATGAGAAGCACATATAGAATGAATGACCTCCAAAAGCCAAAAGATTCTGATTTTTCAGCCAAAAGGTCAGAGCTTAAACTGAGAGTATTACCGGAAAAGTCGCCGGAAAATTCTGGGCCTTTGAGTTTCAGGCAACGGCGAGCAAGGCACTCAAAACTCTCTCCCCCTCTCTCTCTCTCTCTCTCTCTCTCTAATAAGCCTTTTGGTTGCAGAGAAGACAGAAAGAAAAGGCGTTTTTCATCAACTGGGGTAAAAATGGGGGGAAAGTGAAAACAGAGTGCGGAACCACGTGGCGAATACGGACGGCGCGTGGTTGTGTGGGGCCATGGTCCGTATAATTTTATTATTATTGAAATAGGAAATGCTATGTTATTCAACCATATCCTTTTAACCGTTAGATCACCGTGTAATTGTCGATAACAATTAATCTTACTGTTACAAATCTCGACGAATCCGGACCATAGCATCTGTCATTAAGATATTAAAGAAATAAGAATTTGGTGCATTTTAAAATACAAAACGTTGATTTGAATTTATTAAATCACTTGATTTAGATTTTATTAGTATAATAATAAATTTAGTAAATCAAAATTTGGATCAATTTTCTCTCGTTCCCAATCTCATTCGACCGAAACCCTAGCCTCTTCAATCTCGCCGATCGATACTCCCTCGCCGGAAATCCGGGTCCGGCGGTGGACTGCCTTCATCGCTCGTCCATGGAGGCCCAACCTTTGTCTCAATTGATGCATCTGTTTTCTGTTTGCACGCTGGCCATCGGAGGAGCTTCTCTGTTCTGGTTGCGCGCAGGAGTCCAGGTGCCTTCGGTGTGGGTCGGGGTGCGGTGCTGGTTCATGGACGAGGCTGGGTTCGCTGTTCTTGGCTCTGGCTGGTTCGCCGCCTATTTTCCCCTTGCTTGCCCTATTTTCTGCCGTTGGACTGTGCCTTTTCGCCGGCGAAGTGGCGATTGGCTGGGGCAGCTTCTTGTTTTGACTTGGTATGTCAATCGGAGGTTTGCTCTTCTTTTATGCTGCTTTTGTCTCGGTATTGCTGTTGTCTGTGATAGGGAAGTCGTAGCTTCTGCTGGGATCGGTTGCCGCTTCCAGTTTGTGCTTGGCTGTTTGTGTCTTCGGGCGGGGGTAAATGGGTTGCTGTTTCAGTCGGGCTGACTTGGTGATGCCGAGCTGTGTAGGCTTCTGCACGTGTTTGGAGTGCGGGCCAGCTCTTCGATTAGTTTTGGAGTGTGGGTTCCCGTCTTGCTAGGCTATATGCAGTGGCGGGCGGTCGTTTCCGTGCTCGGGAGCCGTCGTTGGAGTTGGTTTGTCTGCCGTCAATCTAGATGTATCTGGCGGGGGAGGTTGTGCTCCTTTTATGTTTATTTTGCTTTTTTCTAGTTGGTCTGTGTTTTAGTTGTAAGTGTATTTTCGGTTTGTGTTTTTGGTCTGGGTCGTTTGACCTCTGTGAACCCGAGTGTCACTTTATTATCCCAATGGGATCCGAGACTCGGGTATTACCCTGTTGGGGTCTTTTAGTTTACTAGTTGTTTGTGTTGCTATTACCCCTTTGGGGTCGTGGTCGAGTCGTTGGTCTGTTTAGTTTGAGTTTTTATTCTAGCGTTGCTAGCGGGATTCTAGGCGGTCTTCTGACCTGTCCTCCCATTTTTTCTCCCGTTGGGAGCTTTGTATTTTTATTCGCACGTTTGTGCGCTTTTGATTTATAATAGTACCCCTATCGTTTCGGAAAAAAAAAAAAAAAAAAAATAAATTTAGTAAAAATAACAGTTGATGTCTCGCTTGGACAAATTGGTAATGGCCCACAATGAACACTAGTGCAAAGCCCGTGCGATACACGAGATATACAATTTTAAGGCTATTTGGCAAAAATTATTATTATATACATGAATAAAAAAAAATGTATGGGATATATATATAGTACGTGCCCGTGCGATGCAAGGGATATATTTATTTGGAGAATATTACATTATAAGATGCAATATTAAATATAGGGATTTATAATACATAAGGAAATTGTACAATAAGATAGTAATCGACAAAAATACAATCATATATTATTAAAGACCCTCTGTACACAACATTATGAGTTTGATTATTAGTTAACAGATAATGTTCTTCTACCCACGGTGGGCATATTAACATGTGCCGACCGTGGGTAGGTGAGCATTACTGATTAGTTAACTGGTTATTCTCACAAACTAATATCTTCAACCCCCTTCTATTAGTTACAAGCAAAACAACAACATATAATAAAGACATTTAATGAAGTGGTAACATGTACCTTTTCTACAGACATATTAAACATTTTCATGTTAAGAATAAATAATTGATTAGGAAGGAGTGTAGAAATTATTAGAAAAACAAAACAACATGGTTATAATGAGATTAGTAAAAATACTTCATGGGTTGAACATTTAAAATAAATCATTGAATAATTGGAAAGTAATATTAAATGATAGGTATTCTCTGGAACGTACAAGTTGCATGATTAGTATTCATGGTTGACCAGTTTCTTCATAGTGGCTCTTGAAAGCAGAGCCGGTCCTGAAAAATTATAGGCCCTATGCCAATTGAATATATAGTGCCCATAATTGTTTTTATTAGAAAAAAATCATAAATAATGTTACATATTACAAAAGAAAAATGATGAAGATTATAAAAAATTGTAAAATTTAATTAAAAAAATTGACAATAAGTAAAGCAATAAATCATGTTCAGTTCTTGTATAAGAAAAAAGACGACAAAATATAAACATTGTTTTAAACTCTAATTCACATTAACTATATGTTTAAATTTATTGTTATCTCGAATAGTCAACTCTTTTGTTGCAAAAATACTAATATTATTTTTAATATATATATATATATATATATATATAATAACCAAATAACAACAAATTGAAACTCACATTTATAATGGATAACTCAATGCCCTATGATGACTATCACTTATATGATTGAATTATATGCACACAATTACACAAGTAAAATTTTGCATATTCAAGTAAGAAGTTAAAACATATTTTTATCGATTGAATGACAAAAGGAGAGAACAAAATATATAAAAAAGATATTTAAGTTAATTATCAACTATTATAAATTAATTTAATCATTAGAACTTCACTATATTTAGGTATGTGAGAATGGAGGGAAAAAAATTAACTCATTTTAATAACCAATTATACTAAAATATATTTTGTTTTCCTTTAAAATTTTCTAAGAATTTGTGTAAAATTTTCGGACCCTGAGCGGCCGCCCCCTTCCCGGGGCCGGCTTTGCTTGAAAACCAAAAGTTTGTCTATACATATTCACCTCAAATTGTGCGATTTATGAAACTTTCACTGCATTAAATTTCAAAATTGTTAGATATGTAATGTATATAATAAAATTATATGATTATATTTGATTATATTGCAGAAAAAACTGCAGTAAAATATATATATATATATATATATATATATATATATATATATATTACTTTAGATCCATAAGAATGAATGCAACCATTTAGATATCGTCAGTTTTTATTTGTTTATCTTGCACAATTTGAATGTCAACAACCAATCCTATAACATCTACAATAAAAAACCAATATGTTATAATTTAATTACTTTGAAATAAACAAATAAAATTAGAAAAAAAAATGAAATAATTACCGAATAACATCGATGAAAGTCTTTGAATTGAAATCGAAATACAGGAAATTTTTTCTTGCACTTTGTAAACATAGTACTCCCGTGCAGCATGATCTTAAAATCACCGGATGTCGAATGATACTTCCCTATATTGTTGTTCACTTGATAATTTTTTATACAAATGACCATGTTATCCTCAAAATTCCTCTCTCTAAACACAGTCAAGTTGATTGCCCGTAGTCATGCCGTAACGCAATTACCCTAAACATATACGAAAAAGAAATTAATGAAAAAATAATTTGTTTTAAAAACATAAAAAATATATATTATGTGTACACGAAAATATATGTTTGACATTTCGAAAAAAAAGTAAAAATAATTTGGCTTACAATTTTATCATGTAGAACCAACTAAAGATAAGATTTGTATGTGTTGTCCAGTCTTGGAAAAACATTCGTACAATTCAAACTTTAAGCATAGGTCTATTAAACTATTAACTTGTTTGATTAAGTCAAATTATTGAATCATTGTTATGAATGACACACTGATTGATGTTTTTTTTTTTT